CTTCTGGAATGCCAAAAAATTTGTCCCCAAAGACATAAAAAAACTACAATATTCCTCAAGTGTATCACTGTTTTCAGTGACCTACGCCTTTTTGTAAACAATTTTTTCTGTTTTATTGTATGGACGTGGTTTTTGCGTATTCTTTTGCGCTGCGAATTCTAACAAACGATTTTTACTTGAACTCAAACGGAATTCACTGTCAAGATGTATGTCTTTCAAGAAATTTCGACTTCAAGTACAATATCCTTTATAAATAGTGCATTAATGATGGCAAAGGACAGAAATCGGTTCTAATAAAAATGAAACGATAAAGGGGAAATAATTTATAGTTTGCTGAATAATACTCTGGTTAAGTTCAGATAAATGAAATGTAGAGGAACATTGGTGGCACGTGGCCGCATGTTTATTTAATTATCACAAGCTGTTGTTCAAAAGAATCTGATTTGCATGGCGAGGCGTCGGAATATCAGAAGAAAATATTTTAGGAATTTTAGGCGCGATGATACAATTACATGCAGGCAGGAATACTATTTATGATGAAAGAATGACAATAAATTGTGCTAATTAATTATATTTCCGAGAAGTTGCTTCCTAGATTTTTTTTTGATTGTACAGCATTATCACGCTTTCTTATGTCTCGGGGTTTGTTTAAAGATATGAATGGTAAGATTTTTCGGCTTTAATTTATATTTAAGTTGATAGTTTATTGCTTAGTGTGTAAACAAATAACGTTTATTGATTTTTTGATAGTTAAATGAATTGCAGGCTATGGATTAATTTAAACGGACGCGGGTGCGCTATTTTAATCGCCGGAGAAGAACAACGCTGCCTTTACCACGCTTCAAAAATGTTGATCAAAAGTTTATCGTCTCGATATAATTTAAAGCACACATTGAAGTAAATTTTCACTGCGCGATAGTGTAACAATATCTCACATGAAGTCATATTGGCAAATAAGCGTAAATTCAATTGTATGTGTAGGCGGGTTAAATATTCGTTCAATCAATGCTTGATGTGCGATCATCAAGCTTGTAAGAAGTGTCATTTATATTTATGTCCAGTAAGGAAGTAATTCTGAATGCCTCAATTTTTTCTCAGGAAGGCAGAGACAAAATGTCCAGTTTACGGAACCTTAGGACGCGCTCGGATTTCTGAAAGGATTGTTGGTGCTGGAAGAGCTCGAGCGCTGCATCGGAATTCTGTAGTGAGGAGATCAATGTGAACACAGCACAGCTCGTCTGAGTGAAAGGATCGGAAGAAACTATTGTTTGGACTGCCATTCTTTTATGATGCCTTGTTGCTTCAGACTATCAAAAGTCATGTATTTTTCTGGAGATTCTTGCTCGCGTGTATCGATCTGGGTTCTTGTTCTCTGGAGTTTAGTACGAAAATGAGTCGTGCTTTTTTGTGACCAAGAAACTGTGCCTGTGGGTTTCGGTTTGGTTAAGAACTCATTCTATTAGACTTTCTTCCGTGTTCTCTATGATAACGCAATAATTGTAAATTCAGTTTAAATACAAAAATAATTTGATCATAGATATAGACGATATGGACTAAAAATATTTTTCATTCGATGCATGGACAATGTCTACAATAGCTGAAGCTTTTGCCAGTGCACTTCGTTTCCTTTCAGTCTTGAATTGAATAGCATTTTATGACTATCAAGTGCACACGAATTTGCTCTATCAATAATTGTCGTAGAGCTAAAATCCTATAAAAACAGAAAAAAAGAAAATGTAATCCCTAATTTAAACATAAAACTTCATTTAGTTTCGTAATTATCAGCCAATACTTTAGAAGAAATATGTTAGCCTATTAAAATAAATTGGGTATTCTCACCGGATAGCTCTCATGGGCACGATCGATTGGGGAGGATTTGAAACACCCAAGTGTTTCAAAACAATGGGCTTTTTTCTCTCAGTGCACGGGCACCGCGCTGTCTCACCTTTCGCTTGTCTTGAGTAAGAAATACGACTTTCAACCAATCCAGACTGGGTCTACTTCTACGAAGGAATTTCCCAGTAATACGTATTAGAACGCGTTCTTCTAGAATACAGAGGCAGCACAATTTATTTACGATCTTAACACATTTATTAAGGAATAATAGATTTGTGTGAATTATTAGTATATAATCTAGTTATTTTACAGTACTCGGCAATAAGTACCCATTCTTGTTTATAAATCACATGAAAAGCAATAATTAAAGTAAAAATTTTAGAGAGGGTAAATATGATACACAGAACTTGAGAACATCTTTATTCTGAAACGTTCTTGCCTGATAAAATCAATTAACGAAGGAGGAATAATACAGTGAACTGATTATTAATAAAAAATCGTACAAAAATGGTAGGCTTTATGCAAATAATTATCCTCAATAAATTTTACATCTTCATGAGTGTATAGAAGTAGATAAAACAATTCTTAGTAGATAAGACTCAGTATAGATAATATAATATAGGAAATAAAATGAAATTCCCTTGTTCGTTTGATTCCATTAATTACCAAAAACGCTTAATCAATTAAGCTTTTGATTTTAATCAACATTAATCAATTAATGGTTGAAAGCTTCATTAAAAGTTGAATCGACTGATCGATTAATAATATTGACAACGATGCACTTAAATGATACATTATTTCACTTAATTTCTGTAACAGACACGGACGAAACATTCACCTCTATTTACTGACTATACAATTTGTTATTCTTTCGTTAAATGCATACATATAATGCGTATGAATAAGTGTTTCTCAGTCTTATTCAATTAATAATAATTCACACCAACAAATGAAACACATTCCGAGGCTTCGTATTACTTTGTAGCGGAAAATGTAATGAAAACAATGAGGTTGGTCTTTACGTTGTCCAACTTAATAATAACATAACATTTTTATTAATTTCACTGTGCACCTTCAAACGGCAGTTCTCAGAGCCCAGTGAATGGCGTAGCCAAATCTGGATTTGAAAACAAAGGCAAATTCGAATTACTACAATCTATTGTTATATCTAAACTGGAACGCGCTTTTTGTGTGGCACGTAAATTTGTTCCACAGTTCAATCAGAGCAAAAAGAACTAAAAATTCGAGCCGAAAGTTATAAAAATCAAACAGTTAATTCTTTATTTTTCAAACAAAGTCTAAATCCCTCGCCCGGAAATAAAAGATTTTACCATCGTGTAAATATTTTTTCCTAAATCTGCAAGTGTGTTTTTCTAAATCAATTATTTGAAGTTAAAACCTGTGCCAAAAAATTCTAATCACCGATACGCAAGAAAGCCCGAAAAACTTCCCATCCAAAGGAGATGTTGATCAGTTGCGATGTTGCCATAACACGCTGGTGTGTTTTGCAGAGGCAGGTCCAGAAAGCGTTCACGTTACCGACGCTAAATCTAAAGCAACAATGGCTGGAGCCGCCGTCATATGGACGCTTCCCACGACTGCTCGCAACTTGAAACGCTTTACAATTTGACGAGGCTCTCATGAGCGACCTGGACCACAACTGCAGCGAGGCAGGCTTGTGCGATGAAGCTGAGAGAAACTGTTGTCTAATTTTCTTTGAATGTATTAAGTAAACTTTGTTTTACTATTACGTGTTTAAGAATTTTGAATTTGATCAAATTGTTAATTTAATTTGATCGCTCACATTAGCTTCAAAGTAGCTTTCAAAAGGGATGTCAACAAATTAAATATGTCTTTCGTTAATGAATTATGCCCTCCACATAGGGTAACGTGGGGCAGCGAGCCCACTGCCGGTTACGGGCCCATAGCGGGTTTCTCGCTAAGTTTGGCAGATATTTGCCCGTATTCTCTACCGCCGGTCGACAGTTTCACTGGGATGAAGTGTACGGATTTACGTTTTGCTAAGTGTTTGCGTTATTAAGTTATTTGTGAATAACTGTTTTAGTCCAGATAAAAATTTTTTTGCTGTTAAATAAATTTTTTTTCAATTACTGTAGATGAAGCTTTTGAAAAAACTGTGAATTATATTTTCAAAGTAATATTTATAGGGCTAATTTTGAGATCAAGTTTAGACTTTTAGCTTTTAAAATAAAATGTTGACACGATATAAATTGAAATGATACCTAGTGGGGGCAACGGGCCCACGCGTGTCACGGGGCAAAGCGCCCATGGTGAATTCTTGTGTTATACATCATTAGATTTGTCTCAATGACCTTTTCAAACTATGACTAGCTTTTTGAATTACAAATTACACTTCATATTGCATGATTTTTTTATTTGCCGCCTCAAGGCAGCAGGTTTAGTTTCTACTTATCGAGTTATCGACTCTTGCCTTGCCTAAAGTTGATTTCAGTCAACACCAATGAGCCAAAAGTTGATGAGTTTTTATGATGTTGGCTGAAATAACGATTAGGTACGAATTCTCTGCACATAATATATGGATTATGGACGAAACTGGAACGAAGTTTTTTTCTGATCAACTAAATATATTTTTTCTAATCAAGGATACATTTTTTCATGTTTAGGACGAAGTTTTTATCGCAAAGGTATATTTTTCAAGTCAAGGATATATATTTTTATGTCAATGAAATATTTTTCTTCACCTGAGTGATAGATTTTTTAAGCCTAGAGTATATTTTTTTCAAGTTAAGTATATGATTTTTTGAGTTGTTAATAAATGAGTGAATGTCATATTTTTTATTACATTTTCTTATTTTTAACTGCAAAGTGTTGTTTTTTCATTTTTAAACGAAAAATATGCATTTGTGGTAATGGGACCAAGGGTGGGCGCCTTGCCCCAAGCCCATGGGCCCGTTACCCCAGGGGTGGGGCAATGGGCCCATTTTGACACTTTTTACAAAATAGTGTTTCATTAAAAATTGAATAAACATATTGGCGTCTAATTCACATCATACATTCCTCATTAGTTGTACCTTTAAACAAAACAAAGAACCACCTCGTACCAATTAAAACTACATCAAAAATTTAGTTTAAAAAAAGGGGGGGCGCGCTGCCCCATGTTGCCCTACTTAATATCTATATCGAAATTGAAAAATGAAGGTACATACAGTAATTAAACTTTCATTTACAAGTAAAATTGCCTTTCTAAACAGCGGTCAGCTTGATGGAAATCTTGCCTATTCTATTCATTAAGAAATTTGGACGCTAATTATTGTGGTCGGCCTGTGCTCGAACGCGAAATTTTAATTGGGATTGCTGTTGTTGCGTCTTTAAAATCTACGAACACTGAATTCAAATCCAGATAATGCTATGTGAAAGATAATCCCTGCATGTGAGGAGCCTCGCTCTCACTTGCCTTCCCCCATTCCAGATCCAGGATTCCCAACATTGCTGCCCCATTATTATAATTCCATTATTTACCAGGATTTCACTGTCAATTAGGATTTTCCTGATAATTACAGCTCCTTAGTTCTCCTGCAGTGCGGCTCAGAACTCTAGTGTACCTTGTCAGTCAGAGTTAGAACTGCCCGATGTTCGAATGCAAAAGTTAAATGTATAAACTAGCTGTAATTAGTCACGGGAGCTATAAGCATGTAGTCTTGTTTTAGAGGGTTTATATTCCCAAGAATCTTATTTTCCATAAATATGTCTTGCAAAATAATCAACAGTTAAATTATATATATTTTGTGTTCCTATTTCGACATCGAAATTCGTAACGTTTTAATTATCGAGTTTAAATATATAATATAATAATTATACAATTATATAATAATTTAAATATCAATTACGTGTATCTTCATGAGAAAAGAGGCTTAGCATCGCGGTATGGCGCTGATGAAGGGTGTATCATTGCCATGAAACATGAGATGACTTCAGTATCGTAATGTAAAAATGCCCTAAACGAGAATTATGATCTAACAATCATTCAGATATTACGATTATAAAGTTTGTACCATGAACATTTGAGTTTATCGCATGTTCGCTGTTTTGAAAATGATAATTTGGCATATTATCTTGAATGTTTTCTTCACATATTTACTTACTTTTCGTCATATTCCGTATTTTGTGATGAACGCATGGTCTTCAATACAAGTCTGTATTATTAACTTTTTCATGACCATCAACGATGTTAAAATAAAGATACCGTGTAAGATGAATAATCGTGAGCTTGTTTAGATCATTGCTCTCATTGCATTGCATTCATGTCAGTGTAATATAATTGAAAAAAATTCCTCAACGAAGTTTTTAGAGAAGAACGAAATTATGAAAATCACCTCTGCAAGGTAGAATTTCATCATAAATCAAATCTAGTAACTTTTTTGTGTCACAGCACAAAATGACTGCCAGTATAGATTATTAAGCGTAGAGCTTTGTTATTAATTTAATTGATCCCGATAAAATTTAGGAAAAGGCAATGACATGCCAAATAGTGAGGCTCGACCAAGTGAAATTCGCTCTGATTGGCACTTTATCAATTAAATATCACGTTAAAGAGTTAAGAGCTTTGATCAAAGATCTATAACAATGCACAAATTGAACGAAATTGACACTTGATCGATACAAAAAAAGCTAGAGACAATTAAGGCCTTCAACAAATTCATTATTGGCAATGGCTACCAATCTTCTTTTACCCCGTCTGAGAAAATCCGTTGACATTGTGCAATACATTTACAAGTGACAAGTAGCAACTTCTCGGTCAGTTTATTTCATAAAAATAACTTTAAAAGCATGAAAAAAATGAGCCAGCAAGCTTTTTACCGTCATTATGTACGAATTAAATTTTTAAATTAAACGTAGCTCTCGTCAGTCCTTCTCGTACATCCGCTGGCCGTTACTCCACCACGACGGGCCAAGGGAGGCACCCGAGTCGGAGTCAACTTTTCAGGAGACTCTAACGCACCAGAGACTCTGGGTGACTCTTGGTGATTCTGAGAGGCCCTGGGCACTAAACTTGTTGATGAAGAATCGTAATAATTGCTGCTAAGACCAGCTGAAGGTCTGTTGACTAACTTATAGCTATTCAACAGGTTATTAACGACATCATGATCGTGGTAAGGCGAGACTCTCGATGAGTCTACGAAAGCATACTGTGCATCACCGGTACTGTGACCTGGAGACTTCCACATGACGTCATCGTTGATACCAATTTCTTTGCGAAGGTCTTTGATACGAGATGACATCGAACGTCTATCTAAAGATCCACATTCTTCTGTACGGTCTTGTCTGTGTAAGGACTCACCGATCCGAAAGCCAACACGGCGTTGTTCAGTGCCTTGAGGTATTTCGTTTCTGTTTGAGATATCATTGCAAGTAAAGTCGCTTCCTCTTCTGATGTAGCGGTAACCACAAGAGTACAAGGCAGGGTTGGTCGCGGCTGAGTCTTGAATCCCAGGACTGAGTGTCGCATTGCGGAAGATTTCGATATCGCGTTCAGGCTGCAAGAGAAACAATTAAAGGGTAATTTCAATGGGAATTTTGACCGAAAATCCGGCGAAAGCTGGGTTAATTAGGTTATCGAAAAAAATAATTTGGAGAAAGTTCGATCAGTTTATTTGTTGTTAGCTTTTGTCATTTCGGCTCGTTAGCGGGAATGCAGACATAGGTACGGCAAGACCCTTGTCAGCGATGCCAGTAGACACCTCATTATCAAGTCTCAACTTTTTACATTAAGTGAACAAGTTATTTCGTATTCAATGAGTAAATTTTGCCACGTATACTACCAAAAGAACAAAAATATAAGCAAGACAAATAAGGGTTTGTGTATAAAAGTATCAAGTTACCAAAAAAGCTGAACAGTTACTAAAAGGTGCGTAAATACTAATTGAGGTTCAATTTTCGAGTCGAATGTTGAGCTCAGCCAAGTGCTATCAAGCGCACCCAAATTAGGATCGTACCCCCATAAAAATTTAGAACTATTTTCAAATTTAATTACTGGACAAAATAGTCCAAAATAGCCGAATAATCGCGTATCGAATAATATCGGTTGATATGGCGAAAAGTAATTTTATTATTTTCATACTACTTGGTGAAATTATTATGGAAATTCGTCGAAAGAATGTGTTGTCTCAAATTAAAATTTAAATATAGAAAATAATGAAAATTTAATCATTAAAGTTAGTTTTTAATACAAATAATGTTCAATTATTAACAAAAAATTTTTAATTGAAAACAAGTAATTAATTTGTTAACAAAGTTGAGAACCATTCGTGATATTTACTTGATTTCCGATTACCGGTTTTTCCAGAAATAAAACCTAATTATGAGAATCTTTTTTTTGCATGACGCGCTTGACGTGCTGGCGTACGAGTTTCCCTGCGAGTTTCATTAGCCGCGGTTTTTGTTATAGGCTGATTCTGCGTAATTTTAGGGCTTAGTCTTCGTCATTGGCTAATTTGGTAATTCTGAGGCTCGGTCTTTATCATTGGCTGATATTGAGCAATTTAGCGGCCCGGTCTTCATCATCAGCTTGTTTTGGGTAATTCTGAGGCTATCTTTATCATTGGCTGATATTGAGCAATTTAGACGCCCGGTCTTCATCATCAGCTTGTTTTGGGTAATTCTGAGGCTCGGTCTTTATCATTGGCTTTTTACGCGGTCTTTAAAAATAAATCATTGGTTTGGATTTCGCAATGACGGCATGAGAGGATTAGCGAGCGGCCTTTGTATGTACAGTTGCCATTAATGGAATCCGATTTGATGAGACTTTGATGTTATTTTGACAGCACAATATGAAGCGGTCATTGATACGTGCAATCGATGCAATTTTTCGGGCTGGAAATTAATTGTGTGCACCGTCGGTCATTTTTTATTATATATAATTATTACTGAGACAGACGGGCATTTAATAAAAATTATTGAATGGGATTCTTTATTTGGCTTGTGAATGAGTTAAAAAAGTTTTGGCTTACTCATTTGATATCAATTAGTACGATTACAAACCCTTTGATGCTATATGATGGTTTTCATACAAAAATTTTCTTCACGTCTTTTCATAACGAAATTCAGTCAATTTCAGTTCAAAAATTGCTGGAGTTTTATTTGAAAAAGAAATGCTGTCATGTTGGTTATATATTGCTGGCATAGCGATTTCAAGACAATTCTGTTAAATTTTAACACAATGCTATTGAAATTCCATTTGTAACTTTTTCTGACTCTCATGTTGAGTTAATTGAAAATACATTTATGTATATATTTTTGTAATACGTTTTTGTGTGAGATGTTTGGTGAGACGACATGGCTCGAGATGGATTCTGACGCACATATTGCGGCGAGTCTACTACTACTGAACGCCGAAGCTAAATACTAACACTTAATACAATAATAAATATTAATACTAAACTCTAATACCATATCCTAATACTAAATACTAATAATAAATACTAGTACTATATACTAGTAGCACAACCTAATATTGAAAACTAATTCTAAATAGAAGTTCAAATAAGGCAAAATATAAAACCTAAATACCAATAATAAAGATTTACCTGTAGAGATGATGCTAATATTACACACAAAACTGTCGATGCGTCAGGACGACGCGCGGCTAGTGAGTCAAAAGCGACTTGAGATTCATGTAAGAATTTTTTTTTTGATAAAGGCCTCCCACACTCACCATTCCAACAAAAAAAAAAGAATTGATTTTATTAATTAAAAACAGGGAATATGGACTGATATCCCTACGAGGGACGAATATCTGGCTGCCATGAGTCATAGGGAACTCTTTATTAAATTAATATAATAAGGGACTATAGATCATTACCACACACATATATAATGCGTCGCCACGAATAATTGTATTGTACTGCCTTGCTTGATCTTAATATTTTTATGAATTTCCTTTGGGTAGTAAATTTTAGTTTTTTCACTCTATGTTCCGGCTGTGAAAGTTTTTGATCAAATTGAAATGAAATTTTCTGTGGTTCTAAACAATAATTCATCTTGAAAATCAATCTACAATCTTCAAGTTATTCATGTTTATTTTTACACCCTTTTCATGCAGAAGTTTTCAAAATTTTTGGTGTTCAATTAGTAAATTTCACATGACGAGAAACTTCCTACACATATCTTATAATCTGCTCGTATCCATAAATTCAATCACGTTGACCCCGAAGTTACGCAAGATCGCGGTGTAGGATAAGTGCGTTGCAATGAGTTGATGAGGGACTATAGGCTTGTGCCATATAGGCACAGGGATGGTGATAGATAGGATTTTGGGGGTAGAGCTCAGCTAAAAAATTAAAACAATAAATAAATTGAAAATTGAGTAATTAGGGAACAGAAGGGGTGTATAATAAGTGTGTATAATAATATAATCTAGTTCTACGATAAATTACTACTTTGAACCGTTAGGAATGCATTCTATATAAATTAATTTACAAACAAATGAGAAGAAATAGTACCGAAAATCATAATAAATAAAAATGTCCTCACCTGGACGACAGCAGGTGTAGGAGTCTCTGCAGCGCTGGACTCTAAGTGGGCAAACTCCCGACAAAAATCTGCTCGGAAAAACATAAAAAAGAAGGAGCTGTGACCTAAAACTGTTGCCTGAGTCAAGGCAATTGTGGGGATAAAAGAAGAAGGAGCTATGACCTAAAACTGTTGCCTGAGTCAAGGCAATTGTGGGGGGTAAATGAAGCAGAGAAGTTGGGATAAACAGACTTGGGGTGAGCGAGGGACACTATAAGCTCCAAGGGAAGCAAGGGGCAGGATAAAACATCTTGCACAAACAACAACGTTGAGGCCTTTTAGCAGCGTACAGCGTTAGAGATTTTTTGTTGGCTTTTGTATAAAATTAAAAAAAATTAAGCATTTGTGTCGGTGAAAGCTTGGTGCATCTCTTTTACATGAATCAAAATTTTACCAAACGCCCCGTCAGGTTTAGTTAATATTAGTCCAAGCTAGAAATCGACAAGGGATCTGATAAATAGCATGTGGTATAAATGGATTTGCTGACACTTTTGAGTGTGGTATGAATGGACCATTATTGTTCAATTAAAATCTCATTAAAATACTTATTTTTCTGATGGATTATTTTGCTCCGTCGATCAAAATTTGCAAGCTTTTTTCAGAATGGTTCAACAAATTAAGTATTCGACCTTGAATGAAATTAATGGCGATAATAATTATCGGGCATTTTCCACGATGAATCTATCAAGTTCAAAACAATCCGTCATGAGCCGGGCTATCAAAAGAGGTCATATTTTGTTATTTAGTATCTTCGTCTGAGCTGTCGAGTCGCCCATGTACTAATGTATGCCAAGTCAGTCTATATTTTGGCTCTAATTTAAAGAGCACTTCAGAAGAAGCAGCTTCTATCTCGGCGAATTTGGGCGCGATTGTTCTGATGGGAATTTGAAGTCTCGGAGTCAAAACAATCCAGGGTTGTCTGCAAAATTGACGTCCATCAAGCGCTATTTTGAAGGAACGACCATTACCTTTTAATTAAATACTCGCCAGGCTATTATTAATAAAATAATGAGAGTGAAAGCTCTCCCGATTAATATTACGATAGAGCTGCAGTGATGCAACGACGTTTTAACTTTGATCAGTTAAGTATGTAATAAAAAGGTGAAATAACATTTCATAATTACTTTACTTACAATCGAGAACCTCCAATAAATTTGTTTTAAATAGAATTTAATTGTATTCGCAAAAGGAATTATCTCCCATCTTAAGAATATTTGTTTTTTTATTTATGTGTTTCTCTGTTGAAAATCCAAAGAAATTCCTGAAGTGCTTCTAGACTGATTCACCAACGAACTTAGAAAAATATTCACTAGAAATTTCAATACTTATTTCAGATAAACTGGAAAAATTCATAGAACATTTTAAACACTATAAGCACCTAAATTTAAGAAGATTCAGTTAAATGATATGTTAGCACGTTTCCATTTTTAGATGGTATTATCATTTTAGTCAGTCAAAGAAAAAGGGTTAAAAAAAAGTTTTGATATTTCCATCAAGAGTCGCTAGATTAATTAATTCACTCAATTTCTGCTGCAATTTAGTTAGAGTTTCGCTTCCAAGAAATAATAATCTGGATAAATGTAACAACAATTACAGAAAAAGCATAACCGGCGTTATATTTTTTTAGCGCAAGCATACAAAAATATCCACGTTATAGATCTTGTAGCAGTAAACAAATGTACATCTTATTTTTGAATACATTCGTTGGACCAGAAGAAAGTTAAAAATCCTATGAATATGAATCCTACTGTTCGGAATATCACCTCAAGCCAGCATTAAAACAAAGAATCACACCAGCGGTAGCTCGCACAGCTTGTGAACGTCTTTTACTAACCCAGTAATAAACTCCAAGACATCAATAACATAAAAATTACAAGTTACGAGTCCATGAAAATCAAATACAATCAATAACATAAAAATAACAAGAAAAATACAGATACTTATGGTTCGAGAACAAAGGCTTCAATTGAGCACATCAAAGAATAGCACACCTTGCATGCCTCCAGAACTCGAGCTTCTGCGGTCGCCTTTGCCTTGCCCAGGCAGGAGCAGGTGACTTCCTCCCGCCAGCGAGCCTGATGAATACTCACCTGGTCAAAGAAAAATATATAACTCAGTACTCACTGCAGTGAGTGACAGAGAGCGCATTTTCTCGTCGAACAAAACGTTAAGTCACGGACGGACGGACAGACGGACGGACGGACGGACATGGCGAGCACAATAGTGCATTTTTTCCATAAATGAGAAAATGCGCTAAAAACACGTATTATATCCATTTTCCGTGGATTTCACAATTATGCACATAGACAAGAATGCAATAATAATAAATTTTAATTAATTGGTAGTATTGAAGATACCTAGCAAAATTCTGACACGAAGGTATTGAAAGCTGTGAAATAGAGAGTAAACTAAATGTTCGACGTGAAGACTCGAGAGTTTTGAATCAGTCCGTAAATCTCACAAAGCTTATTTTATTACTTGAGATACTTCGAGTATTAGAAACTTTTTTAATGCAACAAATACCAACTGCCACATAAATATTATTTTACCTATGAGAGCTTTTTCACGGAAATATATTGTTATATATGAATATTATTAGACTATATGTATATTATTGGATCAGTGCCAATTAATGTCGTAATGAAAGTTTAAATATCCTATATTGAATGTTGCCGGTAACCTAATTTTACTTCATTTCATTTTCTTTCCTCCGCTCGATGATACTTGAAATTCTAAATGCACGATATCATTTAATTAATGAGCAGCGCCCGGCTTGAGAGCCTCTTGAGGCTCATTTGCAACAAAACTCGGAATATATCAATCATCTATACCAAATTGAAGATCCGCACCCAGTAACGCATTTAACGCACCCAGTAACGCATTTAACGCACCCAGTAACGCATTTAACGCACCCAGTAACGCATTTAACGCACCCAGTAACGCACTCAATTGTTACGCCTTCTTCATCAGCTGCTACGCTTAGAACTCTTCAGCATTAGTTTGCCCTTATAGCTTGCTGATCTCTAAGCTAAAGAGGAGGTTCAATAAATGTGTCATAGGTTCGCTTCGTTGCTTTACTAGAAGGAACAAATTAGTTGCAATGAGCACAAAACATAGAAAAACTAATACATTTTAGAAACACTGGCAAGGTTATGACAAATAAATATCAGGTTATCAATGAAATAAACAATGAGAAAAGTGAACGTAGGGCTAATACATATAATTGGCTAAAAATACTGAACAACAGGTAATTGCAACATGGCAACTACGGCAGGATGAAGCTATTTGACCTCCGACACTTGTCACAGACGCGTGAAATGTGGTCGGTCAGATCACGCGTTCTCTATCTGCTATTCCAGCAGATGTTGCCAAAATCAAGTTGTAATATTTGAGTATTTAACTTTTATAGTTAATGAACTACGGCTGCAGTTAGAGTGGTAAACATAAAAGATTCATTGAACACAAATCAATATACAATTGAACACATCAAACTCCCCTCAATTCGTCACACTTACCCGGGGTGGTATCGCCGTTGACAGAGATACCGTCAGCTCTCTCCTTATCTGCACAGTCAGACGGTAGACTGACAGCACGCCCTGCTGTCAGCCTGCGAGCTCTGTACCGTCTCAGTGAAGCTGCCAGCAGTGAAGTGGTCAGCAGTGCCAGCAGTACGACGACACTCCCGATGATCCCTGCCAGCAGAGGCGATGCTGTTCCTGAAGGCCTTGTGTCAGCATCTGAATCAAACGAAAAAATATTTAATTGTAGCAAAGCGTATAATTAAACAGCAAAAATATTTCAGTAAGATTGTATGTGCAGAATTCGTTTAATCGTGCTACGATTCTTTTAATGTGAATTGTAAAATTTCGTATGATTATTTATTATTCGGCCAAATAGAATGAAGTGATGAAGTTCTGGAATAAGGGATCGATTCACGGAAAGGGAGCTGGATCAAGTTTAATTAAAAAAAGTAAACAAAGCGGCACTGTAGCGGGCGATATTTATTAGGTTATTAAAAAGTAGCGAGAGAATTACACGAAAGAAATCTTGTGAGCTAAGCTGCTGGTATAACCGTGAGTTAAATATCTAAATTTGAATTCGCTCAGTGAAATTTCTTGAAATGTTTTTAAAACAACCATGATACATTGCATGTTTTCATTCTATCTTAAAGTATGTTAAAGTTTGCTTAAACTTTTCATCGTGTTGTGCAGGCATGAAAACGAAAAATAATGTTTTCCCTCGAATTTCGAAACAATCAAGGACATCAAACCTGAAGAAGCTGGTAACAATCTCCGTTAAAAATAAAGAATTAAGTTTAATAAAATAACATTATTGTTGGTTTCAAAACTCATAATCTATAAAAATATTTATTATCACTACCATCACCTCATACCTTCACCATACCTTAGACCATCTAAGATCTTTATTAGAAGGTTATTATTATTAGCCATAGGCTCAGTATTACCAGAAACTTTATATGTGGAACTGTTTTATCATGAACTTTCTCCTCTTAACTTACTTAAGCTTGTTAAAATAATCATTATGGTGAGTTCGTTTATTAAAATTTGAATGCTTTGTCATGATGAAAATAAGATAAATCTTGAATTTTCAAAAGGTTATAAGGTATAACAAAAATTCAATATTTTCAGCCGTGTTCGCTCAATGGATAATGAGAGAAATCGCTCAGTGCTATGTTAAGCTTGGAGACTTAATTGGTTCTCGATTGATTGTTAAGCTGGAATATATTATGAATAATTATCCTCGCAAATCACTCCATGATAAAAATACAAAATCTATTCGCACTTGAAATTAGCCTCCGTACTTTTGCAAGAAGGAAAGCCGAAGCCTTCCGAAAAATAATCTTTGCACACAGTTTCAAAATTACAAAGCTGTTCAAAGTTAACATGGCCTGTAAAAAAAGATAGTTAAAGTATAAAATAATTAGCGAAAGAAAAAATTACAATTATATTTAAATATATTCTTGGTTTATTACTTAACGAATGGCGAAAATTATTTAAAGCGATGCGTGAAACATATTTCCCTCAAGAACGGTTTCATTTTGAAGTTATTGCGTTTGAAAACCGATGATCATACATAATGGAACGTAAAATAATGTTAAGCTCTGACGAGGTTCATTCTCAAGAAATAAATCCGCGGTGTTATTCATGATATTCATTAAAATTTCCATCATTATTCCTTTCCTCTTTACTTAAAACACACGAGGCATGTCTTGATTGGATAATTCTTGATTCCCACGAGGCATTTACTCACTAACAAGGCTGTCAGTTAGAGAAATTAAATCCGGGCACTAGCTGGCAATAGCTAACATTAATTAGTCGGTCTCGTCGTTAACAACTCTCCGAAAATGCAAACAAACTCATTGGAATTAACTTGATCTGCTTAAACTAATTAGGTATACTAATCGTGTAATTAATACAGAAAATTTCAGAAATGAAAATAAGTTCTTAGTTTAGCAGTACAGAAAGAAAATGGTGGAGAATAAATCAGCGTAAAAAAGATGAGCAGCTGGAAAAAATTATAGAGCGATCGAATTCATCCTGTTGTTGCTATTTAATTGAATAATTATTGAGGTCCTAAACCTAAAAAGTGAAAAAAATTGTTAATTATTTTTCGCCAAAGTTGGATGATACTAAAAAAATTTACCTATAAAATAAAAACAAATTTACATCTGGTGTTTGCGAAAAAGTGCTATACTCAATTTAAATTTAAATCAAGTTCCAGGTAGAGGGAACTTTTTATGAAAGTATCCTGAAGTAAAGTAAAAAAAGAATACCAGACAGTTTACAAATTATTGTACATTGGAGTTCGTTTCGTGTTTTGCTGACTCATGTATCGAGGGCAAACGTCATCAATCATAAAATTCTGATTCCTTAGTAAATGAAGTCCTGCGATTACAGAATATCGAATATAAAGAGACTATAATTGCATTACCTATTGGTTCAGAGATTCAAGACGTTTTAATGGGTGCATTTTAAAAGCAAAGTCGCTGGAATGGTTTATAAAAAATATCTCCATGCAAACGTTTGAAAATAGCGGTACATGATAGCCAGAGATCTAATTTCATACATTACACGTCTCTTAATTCATGGTATTGGTCATTAAGCTAGAAAAACGGCATCAGTAAAACAAGAACGAAACGAACACTTATATCATTTTAATGCCGTCGTCTTAAATCTTTTAGTTAAAAACCTGGTCGAAATTAAAATTTGTAGCGGACAATCCGACCAAGATTCGAGGGTTGCTTTTGTTTTAGAGTGAATTATTCTCGACACAGACAAAACACATTCATGTATTATTCAAACCCCACATATAAATACAAAGGCGGTTGAGAAAATTTATATACATCACAAGCATTCGATTCATCAGGTGCAGGAAAATTCGAAATAAGAGTTAAAAATTATCCGTTGTTATTGGAACTGTTCATAATAATAGACTAGGCTATAATAATGCGTCTTTTAAATTTTGCTGCGAACTCTGTCGCGTAAATTTCAGTCAGATTATAGACGATAAACGAATAACTTATTAAAATCTCCATTGTTAAATTTGGTGAGTTACTTTGAGATATTCTTGCCTAGTACGATTATGAAAGGTTGAGATGGATATATGCGTCTGAAATATAGTTATTAGTCATATGTCCTAATTTTATTTTTAAAATCGAGCGACGTATGGTTCCCAATATTAAAAAAAACAATTCCATAGCGGCTGCTTTTTTTAAACTCTTGTGATCTTGATTTATAAGAGAAATTATCTATGAACTTCTTATCAATTCTGGTATTGGCTTCGCAAAATTAGTGTCATGTAAGTGCCAAGATATCGTCAGTACTCTTTAGAACACATACATATTATTGAGGAATATATTTAGCTTCACAGTCATACCTATTCGCTAATATTCTTGCAAACTATCAACTGCTATAATACATTTAGTATTATTTACAAAAACGGACGAGAATATAGTTATCAATGAGGACTCGCTTGTTCTATTCAAAGCAACAATATAAAGCATTCGCTGAAGAACTACCACGAAACGGATAAGGACCTTAACGAAT